GCTGCGCCCGAGCTCCGGCGGGCTGGCCTCACGGGCTCGATGCCCACCGCGTTGGAGCAGATGTTGACCACACTGCTGTCGTTCCAGCGGCACACGATGATCTCCTCGCGCTCGTCCACCTTGTAGTCGAAGGAGCCCCTCTTCATTTTCCTCAGCTCCCTGGGGTCTTTGAGGGGACACCGATCTGTCCTGTGCTCGCGAACTGTACCTGTGGCCTTGACGCCCTTCTCCCGCAGCAGGGACATCAGCCTGACACTTGTGAAAACCTTGTCGAAGAAGATGTGGTAGGGCAGGCAGCCCCGCCCCCGAAGCGCGTCCACGAACCTGAGGACCATGCTGCCCCCCAGGCCCAGGCCTCGGTCGGGCTTGGTGCACAGCGTGCCCTGCGAGGGCTCGAACCACACAAGGTTTTTTGCTGGTGGTCCCGCACCAGACCCTGTAGCCCAGCCACACGGCGGGCAGCCGCCTGGAGCTGCGCGGGCCCAGGCACTCGCAGGTGGACGGGCCGAAGCTGTAGAACTCCTCCAGCGGCGCGTGCTTCTGGAAGTTGCAGTTCATGCGGACGATGAGGGGCCGGACCTTCGCGAACCGGTCACTCTCGTCCAGCTCACTGTTGTCTGCAAAGTGCAGGTAAGAGAAGATCAGCTCGAATCTGTCCCTTCTGATGGCATCGGCCACGAGAGGATGGTGGGAGTCGGGGGAGGTCTCCCAGAACATCCTCCTCCGGGGATAGGAGATGTAGCCACTCAGAATCAGGATGCCCAGGACGCACTTCAGCTCCTGTGCCGAGAGGCCCAGGGTGACGCCCTTCTGCCCAGCATACCGATTGGTTTCGTTAACAATGAAGTTAATCGTCCCTTCATCAAAGAACAACTCAAAGAGGCCCACAGGGCTCAGCTCCTGGCTCCTGAGGTCCTCGACGTGAGGGTCTGACGCAGTCCAGCTGCTGAAGCGTGGCTGGATGTCTCTCCTGGTCCACACGCGCTGCTCCTCCACCCCTGTCCTCCGCCTCTTCGAGGCCGGCTGCAGCGCCAGCCCGCCCATGTCCTCCCCACTGCCCTCGCCACTGTCCGAGTCCTCGGACACCACGGAGGCGTGCAGCACACTGCCAGGCAGCTGGGGGCCCCGCTGGCCGTCTTCATCTTCATCCCCAGAGTCCTCGTCCGTGAAGTCCCCAGCCGCGTTGTCAGGAGGCGCAATGAATATCTCCTCGGGGGCGTGGCCCGACTCCCCCTCCAGGGCGCTCAGAACCTCCAGCAGTTTGGCGGCCTTGGCCTTGGGGCGGGCGGCTCTCCCGGGAGGGACCCGGCTGCAAGGGAAGGAACACAGTGAGCAGAGGCCACTCACTGTCCATCCGTCCACCGGCTGGGGCGGAGGAGGGGGCCGCCCTTTCCAGGCCAGAGATGCACACTTCCTCTCCTGAGTGAAGGGCTCCCTTCAGTGAGGGCTGGGCTCAGGGAAACCTGGGTGGCTGTAGCGCCAGCCCTGCCAGCCTAGACAGCGTTCCCAGAGCTGCTAGCGCGCTTTCCCTACCCACCTCTTCCTCTGTTTTCCTGACCAGCAAAGGCTTCCTTCGCTCCCCAAATTCCAGAGCTGAGCAGACCGGTTTCAGGTGGCTCCTCCTCCTCCCCGGTACCTTACTGTGAGTAATTTGGGAGCAAGGAGACCGAGACTCTGAGAGCAGGGGGCCCTGCCACCCGAACTCCCGGCCTGTGCACACGGGAGCCAAACGGATGCAGGTGGAAGGACTCCAGCCATGACGAGAGAGCGGTGAGCAGCCACGAGGAGGAGGACGGCGGAGGAACCCGCTCCCCAAGCACAGCGCTCACGGCACAAGCTCCCAGCAGCTGTGCAGCAGTCACCTGTGCCTGGGAGAGAGAGCATGTGCTCCTCCGCACGGGCCAGGGGCAGGCTCCCGGGCTGCCCGAAGGAGTGAGGGGCGCTCACTAACAGATGTCCGCGCAGAGAAACAAGCTCAGCGCGAGGCCCGGAGCTGACAGGCTGGCGAGGACACGACAGCAGGGCAGAGGCCATGGGGCAGCTGCACCGGGCCCCAGACACCCGGCCGTGCCGGGAACCCTGCCGGCAGTGGGAGGAGAGAGTGAGCACGATGGACTGAGGACGGCCCGGCGAGGTGGGCACAGGGACCCTGTCACCACCCAGGATTATCTCCGGGCCCACTCAGGGGACCCTGCGCTCTGGGACGGTGCAGGTGGCACAGTCTCAGCCCAGCCACCATCTACAGCCCCTGCTGATCGCGGGAGGCCAGGTCCCCACCATCTGAGCTCTGTGTGGGGGCCCAGGAGACACCACAGCTTGGGGAGAGGAAACCAGGTTCTAGGGGATAGTGGCCTCCTGGCAGCGGCCCTGCCTCAGTGTCCCCTGTCCTAGCAGGGATGCGGTGGGCCCAGATGCCCACCAGTGTCTTTGTCTTGAAGGGTGAGGACAGCTGAGTGGTTTTCCGTCAAGCACACACCGGAGCCACACACCCCTCAGCCTCATCTCTCTCCATCCCCTCCTGTCCGCTTCCTTCCCCGCTCTGCTCTCTGAGCATCATTTCCGGACATCGGCAGGACCAAAAGATGAGAGTGTCTCCTTCCCTCTGATGTCACTCCTACCTCAAGGCTGAGGCCATGGCGGGCTGGGAAGCAGAGGCTGTCTTCACCCAGAGTCCAGGAGGCTGCAAGACAAAGGAAGCCAGTGTTTAAGAACAACGGCCTAATAAGCAAAGCAAGAGCATCTTTACCACCTAAGTGGAAACATCCTCTGCTTGAGATTCACACAAAAGACAGCAGACGGAACACACAGAAAAGGCGGTCTGGCCAATCGGCCACCTAGGGAAAAACAGCCCCTTCTCAAACTCACTCCAGAATGCACACGTGCCAAGGCAGGGCAGCACTGCCAGAACTACCCACATCTGGCCTGCACAGTCAGGAGCGAGAGGGCAGACCCCACACTGTGGGGCGGTTAACACCCGGCTTCTTCCCACTAGATGGCAGCAGAACGCCTCTTCCTCCTCAGTGAAAAATCAAATGTTTTCCAGGCGTTGCCAAGTGCTCCCTGGGGGCAAAATTGGCCTTAGTGGCAACTGCTGTCCTGGATCACTGGAAGAAACACAGCAGGGCTGCCCACCACGGCCACCAGGAGCCATGGGGGCCACTGAGTACCTTCAACAGGGCTGGTGCCAAGACGCTGAGCTGCCAGTGTTAAGGAAGTTAGGCTGTTAAACAGGCACCTGTGCCAAATGCATTAGATGGTGAGACTAAACACACTAAAAACTAACTGTGAAGAAGAAAAGCGTTTAAACGTTTTCAGTACTAAAGAAACCCAGAAAAGGGAAGAATTTCTTGACAAAAACAAACACTGAAAGGAAAATGGATAAATTAAACCTCATCCAATTTACAACAGCTCTGTAGTAGGTGGTCTGTCAGACGGTTCCCAAAGATTCTCCTCCCTCCTGGCATTCATGCCACTGAGTAATCCTCTCCTCCAGAGAAGCCTGGCCTTGCGACCTGCTTTTCACAAACAGGATTCGGCCACTGTGACAATGAGATGTCTTTTCCGAGGCGAGGCCGCAGAGAGACTGGGCTTCCATCTGCCTTTGACCTCTGTCTCTCGTTCTCCCTCCTGCTCACTCTGAGGGAAGCCAGCAGCCATGCCCTGAGCTGCCTGAGGCAGGGAAAGGCTGAGTTCAGTCCTGGCAGACACTCAGCAGGAAGTGAGGCTCCGCCCAGCATCCTCAAGGAGTCCAATGCTGAGGGACAGTTTTCCATCCAGCCCTAGCCCACAGCTGGGCCATACCCAGGGACCGAGCCACAGAAACTCAGCCAAGCCGTGCCGAGATTCCTGACCCACCGCAGCCTGGACATGTTACACGGCTGTTGCTTTCCAGTTCTTAGCTGCGGGGTGATTCTCGATCCAGCAACAGATGATCAACATAACATCTATCAACAGAACACCCCAAACAATAGCCACAGCCTGCTGGGAGACATTCACAACACACACAGCCCAAAAAGAACCAGTATTTAGAATACAGAACATAAATAATCTCTGAAAAACAATGAGAGAAATAAAATTTTATCCCACTGAAAGGAAAGGTGTGCAAAAGTTGTGAAAGAGAATTCACACAAACCGAATCCTAAATGGCCCATAAATATTTGTAGAGAAATCAGAAAATGTAAATTAAAACCACAGGAACCAGCCACCTAAACTGATGGAAACATCAGCCAGGACCAAGGACTGTGAGCAACCTGCAAACCCAGAGAGCCGGGCAAACACAGGCCAGGCTTCCGGCCGCCTGCCAGCCTGATTGGGCAGTGAGGGTGAGACTCTCCCATGGCTCGGGCTCCAGAGCTGCTCTCAATGGCCTGGGTCACCTGTGCACTAGCAAAGAGTGAGCAGCACCTGCTCCCTGCTCCTCCCCTCTCTCCTGCCCATCCTGAAAGCCTGCCCTGCCTCCCTGCTCCACCCTGAATGGGGCAGTTAGTGGAACCTCAGCGCCCGGCGGTCTATTGTCCCTGCCAGGGTCCCGTCCACCTACCATCCGCCTGCAGCACTAAGGGTGAAGGCCTCGGGCGCCGTAGAGAAAACACAACTTCAAGGCCCGGTGCCTGCCGGGCCTTTCCTGCAGCACAAGCGGTGTGCTGCGTACCAGGGTAGGCCGGACCTGACCCCGGCGGGGCTGCGCCGGACGCCACGACGCAGAAGCCAGAGCTCGGACACCGCGCTGGCCCGAGGCGTAGCGACCTCGCAACGTCCGGCAAGAGAACTCTCGCTGCGCCGGGGCCGCCTTCCTCGCCACGCCCCCGCCTGGCCCCGCCCCGTCCCAGGCCACCATGGAGGCGCCGAGACCTCCAGCCGCCTAGAGGGACCCGGAAGTACTCCGAGGCCAGTGACTGGAATTTGGAAGTGGCCCGGCCGGCAGGAGTGGCGGCCACCACCCGGCTGTCCCCACGCCGCAGCGACAGCCCCGCCAGACGATCTAGGGCGCACTTCTCACGTATGTAGCAGCAGTCAACGGAGAAATGCAAATCCTGGTAATCACCTCAGAACTCCTGAAGCAGAAACAGGGCTAGAGTGCTCAGAGATGTGACTCACTGGTAAAGTGCTCCCCAGCAACAAGGGAAAAAAAAAAGAAAGAAAAAGAATAGGAGAGGAAATTTAAAATTCTAAGAATAGGTCAGAATCTGTGCCTTACAAGCCCTGGAGATGGTTGTGATGTTAATTAGGGCTTAAAGACCGCTACTGTTTGGCAGGCTTTCTCAACCTCCACACACTACATTTTTCCCTGATAATCCTACCTACATTCTATTATAAATAGAACCACAAGGTAAAAATTGAATTTCTGGTAAGTGGTAAATCCGTAATCTCATTTTATAATCCTATCAGGACCTGTATTTTTTACTGGTTACAAATATCATAGTTGTAGGACCTTAAGCTGGCTTCTACCTACTAAATGCCAGTAGCATGTAACTCTCCCACCTCCCCAGTTACTGTCAATGGATGAGGTCCAAGGAAGTCCCCCCAAAGGGCATGACACTCAGTGTAGGAGTAGGTTCTTGGCTCTTTTCACAGAAAAAGGATTTCAGGATGTGTCAGAAAGGCATGGGCAGATTAGTTAGGCCAAGTCAAAAAGTAGGAAAAGATAGAGGAGGTGAGATAAGATAGAAGAAATAAAGATTGGTAGGAGACAACCATAATTTTTAGGCTGTATTTTTAAGGAAACTGAAATTTCAGGACACAGCCAAGTTGCCCAAGACTCCATATCTGTGCTCCCTGTCTTCACTCCCTAGGGTTTTTGGTTTGTTTGTTTTTTTGTTGTTTTTTTTTTTTTTTTTTGTTTTTTTTTTGTTTTTTTTTTTTATCCAGACCCATCACACCTAAATCTAAAGATACTGTAAATCCATCAACTCACCTAGTTGGTACGATAAAAGCAGCAACCTGACCTTAAGATAAATAAACAAATTCAGAGGGCTCAAAGAATGTTTTGAGGCAAAAAGCTTAGATCCTCTATCATAATTGACAGCTCCAAGAGTACATCTATGACCCCAACACCCACCCATGCAGGGTCACTCTGAAAGCTGCTGTCCCTTCTGAGTATGAACTTCTTGCTGCCAGATCAGTCTTCTGTGGCTCTCACTGATGCATTCTAAAGTTCTTTTCCTGTAACAAGACCTCCACAAACCTATTCAGCAGTCTGAGTTGAGGTCCCCATCTTCCTTTTGGGGAACTCCTCAGACCCCACCCAGTGACAATGGGATCTCAGCTTGAGAATTAAGAGTACAGCTCAGATGAAGAGAATCACACCAGCAGTTTCACAGAACAAACAGCATCTGTGAATTAGCTGAAGTGACTAGGTTTTCTTGATTGTTATCTCATTTGGAGATTTATGTATGGGGTGGCTCAGAGAAGTCCTTTAGTCCCCATGATGTGTTTGTTTCTGCTCAGGGCAGTCTCAGTCTTATGAAAGCTCTGCTGGGTTCAAGGCAATGACTGGAGACTTGAACATCTCTGTAAACTTCTTATCTTGATGTTCTCAGTCATTTGTTTGTTTGGACAGGATTTTGCTATGCAGTTCCTGCTGTCCTTGAACTCACTCTGTAGCCCAGGCTGGTCTCGAACTCACAGTGATCCTGATCCTCCTTAGTCTTAAAAGGGAAATTAGATAGGTTGTGTAAATTTAAGTTTCTGGGAGACTAAGTCAGGAGGATCACAAATTCAAACGCAGCCTAGGCAACTTAGCAATTTAGCAGGACCCTGTATCAATAAAGTAATTCATTAAAAGGACTAGGGGTGTAGTTTAATATAAAGGCCCTAGGCTCAATCCTGAGTACTACAAAAATAATAATAACAAGAAGCCTAATCAACCTCATTTTGCGAACTTTTAAATAGAACATCCCTAAATAATCACCATGTCTATATACAAAGGCTCTGACCCAAAATTTTGAGGTAGTAAAATGAAGGTCACACTTTACTCTGCTTTCAGTTACTTACTGTAGGCCCACGTGAAGTCGCTGCTCTAAGAAAAAAAAAATGGTTTCAACTCCCTGACTGCCTCAAAAAACAACCTAAATCATGCTTTGCATTAGTAATAGGTTAAGGGTCCAGGAGTTTGATTGTCCTTTGTCCCTTTTGTGGTTTCTGTGTTGTTATGACAACAAAAAGACTGTGTCCCTTGCAAGGGAAAACTCTTCCACCTGCTCCTGCCCCTTGAGAACCACTGCTTTATAAGGATTTTGTCCCACTGAAACTGTTACAAGAGTTTTGGGACAAAAATCCCACAACAGGCCAGGCTCAGCCACCTGTCCCAATATGCCAACCAAGGAGATGACCAGTGGTGAAGGGCAGGAGAGAAGCTTGGTCAGCATGGCCATGCTGGGAAACAGAGAGAGAGAGAGAGAGAGAGAGAGAGAGAGAGAGAGAGAGAGAGAGAGAGAGAGGCTCAATGCCTGTCTTTCAGGGGCTGACAAGACTTTCAGGAGGGGAGCAAGGGTGTAGGGACAGACTGGAGGAACATAGAGACCCAGGGCAGGGTCTAGGTGGCTGTCGGTGATAGAATCATCATATGCTCATCAGTGTGTCATGTACTAGAGGAAATGTACCCTACTATATCCTTATAAGAATGTTACTCATGCTTAAGAAATCCCTAACATCGCCTTCCCAGAAATAAAGGTGGAGACTGATTGTACCAATCAGTGAAATAGTTATTCTTAGAAAATCGGCTCACCCCTATGATTATGAGCAAAGCAAAGATACCATGCTGAGAAGCTCACCATGGGCTTCTCCCTGCCATACGGCTCACTTGCTGGGTGACAGTTTGTGAGGCGAGTATAGTAAAGCACACTATACTTTCTTTACTATACTTTCGTTTTTGAGCTCCTCATTCTGTGCTGCAGAGGCTTTTGATTCTGGGTCAGCCTCACTTCACCTCTTTCATTCCTACTAGAGTGAAGAGACAAACCAGGGAGGCAGGGAGGCAGGGAGTCTCTTCACGGGAGGCCCCCAGCCTCCCAAGACCCCTGCCTGACACAACAGGGCCAGGGTTGGGAATTGGCAGAGGTGACAGGCATAGGTCATCCCGGTCAGCTCAGGGTTTGGGGAATGGTGATCACAGGCTGGTTCTGTAAGGTTCTGGTTCCCATCATGACAGATCTTCCTGTTTAGAGTGGGCAGCCTCAGTTTCCTTTTGTTGTATGCTCTGTGGAGTGCCTTATTTTATTTCTTTTTCCCCTTCCCTCCTGTCTTCCCCCATACCCTCATCCCCTACCCATCTCCACAAAGTCTATCTCTCCCTCTTTCCTATCACCTACTTTTTAATTTGCTCCTAAATTATTTAGAATTTGGGTCCCTCGTATCAGATAAAACATATGATATGTAACCTTGTGTGTCTGATTTACTACATTTAGCATTATGGTTTCAATGTACATCCATTTTCCTAAAATGAGTCAAGTTTATCCCTTCTTTATGGCGAGGTAGTATTCTGTCCGGTACAATTCCCAAATTCTCCTTATCCATTGGACACCCTCGGTTTCAGTCACAGGGTCGTAGCTCCCACTTGGGGGTGACCTCATCATGGCGTGGTCTGTGAGGCTCTGCTTTCCCTGGAATCCAAGGTGGATTCAGCACAGTCACTGGGAATTCCCACGCAGCATCCAGGTGGTATGGAACTAGACATTAAAAGCTGGCAAATAGTCTGTGCAGATCTTGAGAGTCTCCTTATTTACACTTAGCTTGGCACCTTCAGTCTTGAGAGGGGAGGTAGGCTGGCTACACGCGGGGCCAGTAAGCCTTGTAGCACTGACGCCCCTTTAGTGATGAACGGACAGAGCTGAGCAGAGACCTGCCCAGAGTTGACAGGTGGGAGGGAGACAGATGAGGACAGAGATGCCAAGACGCTTAAGTCCCTGCCACAAAATCTGGCAGCCCAGTAGCACGTCGGCAACAGACAAATATGGCTCAGGGCAGATGCTGGGATGGAGGGAGGGCAGAGAGAGGAGTATGAAGACATCCAGATGAGGATGAGGCTGGAGTGGACCAGAGGAGCCCCAGCAGAGGAGGTGGACTTCGCGGCAGAACTGCCGGGATGTGGGTGTGAGCGCTGTCGAGAACCCTGGGTGACCCCTCTTTTCTGGCTTGAACACCTGGAACTATGGGGGTGCCATCAACTAAGTCAGGAAAGTGGTAGTGGGAAGGGCAGGTTCTCGGGCTGGAGTGGGCAGAGGGCAGAAACTGTTGGATGTTTCTGCATGAGGCCTGTGAGGTGCTGCAGACCCGTCCCGAGCTTAGAGGAGATGCATCAGGACTGCAGTGGGGGCCGCCGCAAGAGAGAGGAAGCATATGGCCCTGGACCTGTCACCTATTGGAAGCAAAAGCGTTACAGACCCTAAAGTACACCCTCTAGCTTTACCAGGCCTTAGTGGACTTTAAAAAGCACTACTTTTGGAGGTCACACAGCTGAGCCTCCCATCTGTGACATGTGGGTTATGGTAAGTTTCTTAGGTTGCAGTGCACAAACGTGGGGCACTTTGGCTAAATCGGTTGAGCCTGCAGATATCTGACAGGTACCTGAAATGTAGTAACAGTCTTACATCTCTGTGTTCATTTGTGTCTGTACCCTTTTGCTTCCTTAACTCCTGGGTCAGCTTCTCCCCTGCTCTGGGTGTGGAGATGTCAATCAGGATGTAGGGTTGATCTGGCCTGTTGCCCATCAAATCTGTTATGTTTCTCTGCCCACTCTCGTGCTCGTTCTACAGCTCAGGTGCTGAAAGTTCTCTAGTCCTGTTGCAAGACCAGAATGCTTATGGAAGATGTGACACCAGCTCCGAGAGTAAGTCAGCAGCTCCTGAGCAAAGCAAGTGACCGGTTCATCCAGCAGTGGAAGGCCAGGACATGTGCACACAAGAACAGCACCCTGTGCCATCATGCCCTTGGCTAATAGACAGGATCAGATCAGCTCAACCCAACAGGTCCACAGGAAGCGGGCCCTTAGTTTCATTGAGCAAACAGTCTGATCACCTCTGATCAAGCACAAGCTCCCTTCTGCTGGCAGGCTGAAGGCCCAGCAGGGAAGCCTGGCCTGTCTTGTTCAGAATATGTGCCTGGTCTCATTTCTATTGTTCCCAAGCCATAAGATCCCACCATCCAGCAGCAGGAGCCGCGTGTACGTGATATTGAAGCTGTAAGCCTAGGTGAGAGCATCCAGATGTGAAACTGAATGGCTTGGACAGCAGGGTCAGAACTGAGCCCTTGTCCAGCCACCCTGTCCACCCCACCAGCGAGGCCAAGTGGATGATCAGCAGAGAGAAGCTTGGACTTCTGGGATAGAGTTGGATTCCTGCCTGTGCATTCAGGCCAGATCTGAGCTCTCAGTATGGAGGTATTAAGGCAACTCAGAAAATCTCAAGGAAAACGCTTATTAAACTTGAGTTTCTATTATGTGGAGATAAAATAGGAACTTCTCTCTGAATTCTTCTCAAACCACAATGAGTTGTTCTCTGCCCAGCGGTCACCACTAAGTTCCTCTAAAATTGTTCATTTCTAATAGAACAGTACTCTGAGCTGGGACCTCTCCAACAGTGGACAGTGTGCCCGGGCTTGGTCCCTTAGTCCCAGAGCGAGTCTGCCTGACTCTTACTGGATTCCCTCACTCCCAGAGACATGGCAGAAAGTCAGCTTCCAGATAAATGAGGCTTCCATTTATTGGGGGCCTGGAAAAGCAAGACCTGACCGTTTCCTGATCCACCAAGAACAGATGAGAGCCCTTCCCACCCTCACCCCTTGCTCCCGTCTCTCTCCCAACTTGCTTCTTGCAATTGTTTTAGTCAAGGATGTTCTGGACTCGACCTCAAACTCACAGGCAACAAAAGCAAAAACAGAAAATGGGATTGCATCTCACTAAAACTCTGTACAGCAAAGGAAACTACCACAAAGCAAGGTGACAGCTACAGGTCGGAGAAAAGTCCAGTCTGGCATATTTTAATCCCACATCTTATAAGGGGTTAGTATCCAAACTATATAAGGAACTCAAACCATATAAGGAACCCACAATTCTGAGCAGTTAAATAGCCAAAGCACATATGGAATTTAGGGTTATGAGCAAGAAAACAGCCCAATATTTTAAAAGGTTGCAGGTTCTAATTGGTCATTTCTAAAAGGCAAGCCGTTCGTCAGTAGTTATCTGGACACATAAGCTCATCATCTCTAACAATTAGGGAAGTGCAAATGAAAACCACAACGAGTTATCCTCTCATACCTTCAAGTTACACTCACGAGGGTTGGTATTGCCTGTTGTTCCCCAGGAAGACGGGAGAGAATCTGGCAGGAAGGAAGACAACTTTTTCAAAGCCAACTCTGAAGGAGCCAGGGAGGCCTCCTGTTACCTTAAGACTACCCGCCCATGTTCAGGATGCAAAGGATTCCACTGGGAGGACAAGAGAAGGGAAGGACAGTGAGACTACCAGAACGCACTCATGCACAGAACGGGCAGGGAAGCGTCTGCAGACGCTGCATATATGTATTGCCTTGATCGTGGTGACAGTTTACACAAAGTCCAACCCACTAGCATGTTTACATTAGTTTTGTACCGAAGACTTTTTTTTTCTATTGTGTGCCAAATGTACCTCAATAAGCCAGGGAGAAAATGCAATAAAATCAACAGAAACAGAGCACACACAACATCCAGGAAAGGCCGGATGCAGACTTCTCCTCATCCTCTCAGTGCAATGCTCCAGGCTTGTTCTTCCTGCAGCACGTACAGCCTGTGGTCAGCCAAGGTTACGGGAGGCTGGATTTTTCTTCAAAAACCTCTGCTTAACACATCTTAGGCCTTCATCTTACACCTCTCCTTCAAAATAATCACTTTTTGAGCAAAAATGAGATCAACTCATGGAATCAAGCATCCTCAAAATTTACCTGGAGAAACCCCGAAAAGTGTTGCCCATATGTCGCACTTACGATCACACCCTTCTGCAGGAATAGCCACAGCACGCCAGGCCAGTGTGCTCCCCCGGGACCCCTGCTGCTGGTCGGGGTGATGCAGCAGACACCGCAGTCCTCATATCTCCATCTTGGCCAAGGGCAGGATTTACACCTTCGGAGAATCCTGAGTGGATTTGATCAAAAAATCAAACCCAAGGGGAAGTCTTGTAGCACCACACGGGAAGACAGCAATTCCGTTAGCACCCTTTTGTTTTTTCACTTTTGTAAGCGTGGGTGTGTGTAGCTGTTTGTTCCTGGGTGTGCCTGAATGTATAATTATGGGGGTGTGGTTTGTGTGTGTGGCGTGTGCATGAGTGGGAGTGTGAATATGCTGCATGCTGTGGTGTGTGTAATTTATAGTATTTGGTGTGTATGTGATATGCATGTGTGGGCAGAGTATGTGTGGAATGTGTATAGTGTAGATATGTGTGTGTGGTGTATGCTGTGTGGTTGTGGGTTTGTATCATGTGTGAGGTATGTGGTGTGGAGTGTGGGGTGTGTGGGTGTGAAGTGTGCATGTTTGATCTGTGTGTTTGCACGGTGAGAGTGTGTGAATGTGTATGTGTGGGTGGTGTGTATATGGGTGTGGTGCTTGTGTGCAAGCACGAGTGGAATGTGTCCCTCTGTGACAGGGATTACTCCGGTGGCCCTTCAGCAGGTGAAGCCGCGTGCTGTGTGGCCAGAGGTCAGGAGCCAGCAGTCCTGAGCTTACAGTCAGCTCTGCCCTCAGGGATTTCAGGACTGGGTAAATTCCCGATCTCATGGGCATCTCCATTCTTCATCTAAACGTTGTGAACACCGCAATAGTACGTACCTTGTAAAGTCTTGGTAAGAATTAAGTGAAAAAACTTGAAATGTCATTTTAATAATTCTCATTCTTGTTTGGATTACAGGTCACGGTCTCTATAGTGCTTGAGGAAACTAACTAGATCCCGGACTGACAAATCTGTGGCCGCCTTCATCCATCGCCCATACTCTTCCAGCTGAAGGGGGAAGAGCAGCTCTCTGTAACCCGGGCCCCTGCGAGGATGTCCTGCTGCCTGCAAGCGCCCTGCTGTCGTGAGCGTGAGCGGACTGCTTGCCGCCAGTCATACACAGCGCTGAAATATCACAGGGATGTGTCACACAAGAAACCCAAAGTGTAAATACAGGGCAAAACCAAAGATGGGCGATAGCAAACACGGAGGGAAGGGGAAGAGGGCTGGTGGAGGAAGGGACGAGGGGTGGAAAACAGTGAAGGTGTGTTGTGCACACGCGCAGCTTCCCGGGAGGAGCGTGATCGTTGTGCACTGCAAACTGGACCGATAAAATTTTAACAGAGAAGGAGTGGCCGCCCTCCGCCAGGCTGAGGGTCGCGGTGCGTTCCGCCCTCCTCTGTCTCTAAAAACAGTGCCCCTGCAAGATTGACACCAGGGAAGGTGGATCAGCACTGTAAAGCCCTCATATGATGCTCGGGGGCACAGCGTTACTTCTATGGCATCGTGACAAGTTGCACGCCGTCTAGCTCATAGTGACCAAACAGCCAGCAAGCCCATCCTCCATGTGAAGTGTCACCCTCGAGGGGCTGAGTGTAGGACACGCTCTTTACTGTTCTTGATTCATTTGCTGTTTGAGAAAGGGTCCTACTTTCATTTTAATTCCCTGTGGCTGCTTTCCTTATCATAGGCAGTTAATTTCAGGCTTTAGTTTTTAACTTTCCAGTGAAGCCATTCAGAGAGGACCCTGGGAGACTCGTCACCGCGGTCCGGTCATGGCAGTCCCCCGGCCCTGCCAGCACACACTTTCAAGGTGCACAAAGTGCTGGCTTCCCAAGAAAAGGCAGCAAGTGGCCAAGTCCAGGGTGGACCGATGGAGGGACACTTTTACTCCCTGGGTGCCCTTCCCCAACACGGAAGCCGGATCCCCGGCCCACCACTCTTCCTGGGGCCTAGGAAGGTATTGTCCCCACCTCTGTGTGTGTGTGCTTCAGCCCGAGTCTTCATAATTTGAATTCAAAGAGATCAAACCTTCAGATGGAGAACAAATGGTCCCTGAAGGAGCAGGGAAGGTAATGAATCCCTTGGGTCCAAATCAACAATCACCCTCACTTCTCAGTACCGGAGAGTATTGAGTCCCAGAGGGGAGGCTCCTCCAGGGTCCTGATCACATGAGGATTGATAATAACTGTACTTCTTAAAGGGTGGGCCTCGAGTCTCTGCAGTGTGACACTGGCAGTGACACCTGTGCGTCATTGACAGCTCTACCCTCCGCCTCTGTGCTCATGACACGCAAGCCCTCTGAAGCCATCCGGCCCAAAAGGCCACCGTGAGCACTGTCTTCATCACTTTCCCAGCTGGACATGGAGCCTGGCGGTGCAAACTTGAAGGGATCTCAGTAAAGTCCATCTCTTACACAAAGTCCCATAAGGCAGACTATGAGGCAGGCGCGGTGGAGCACACCTGTAATCCCTGCACACAGGAGGTTGAGGCAGGAGGGTGGCTGGGAGTTCGAGGCCAGCCTGGGCTATACATGTTCAAGGCCAACTTGAACCACATAGCAAGACTTTGTCTCAAAGAAAGAAAAAAGACTCCAGAAGGGTAAACATACAGACACACTAGGAAAGTTTGCAACATGTAAGGGAACCACTGTGTTTTGTTTTGTTATGGTTTGGGGTTTTTTTGATTGATTGTTTGTTGTGGGGGGTTATTGATACACTTTAGATATACATAATGACAACATTCAACTTTGAATCTGCTGCTTTTTTACAAAGCCTTTATTCCCATTTCTTCCTGGTATCCTTTTTTCTTTTCCCTTCCTCTCTCTCACTCCCCTGCTTTGTTCCCCTTCTCATTTGAACATTTCTTCCCATTTCCCAATATCTGTTTTACATTTTGGCACTCGTGAACACTTTTTGTTTCTCACACCTAAGATGCAATGCATTTACACATATGTGTCCGATTTTTTTCACTTAAGAGTGCGGTCTCAAGGTCTATGCTTTTACTTAGACATGTATCCTTCTTTATGGCAGAGTAGTTCCCCTTGTGTTAAAAACACACACCATCTTTATCCATTCATCAGTTGATAGGCATTTGGCCATTTGCAAGATTTAGCTATTGCAAACTGTGCCACTATAAATATGGGTATTCATATATTGCTGTAGTAAAATTTTTTAATTCTTTCAGAAAGACACCAAGAGGTTTACCAAGACCTAGCTATCTCTAGGTCAAATGGAACCTATGGTTTTAGTTTTTTCAGGAATCTCCACAGCGGTTTCCACAGTGGTTGCACCGGTCTGCACTCCCACCAACAATGGAAAGGGTTCCTTTTTCCCCACAGCCCCACCAGCATTTGTTGTTGGTTGACTTCTTGATAGCCATTCTTTCTAGAATGACATGGAATCTCAGCACTGTTTTAATTTGTGTTTCTCGAATGACTAGTGGTGTTGAACATTTTTTATATATTTATTTGCCTTTCTACTTCATCTGAGAAGTGTGTTTTCATTTCAGATGTCCATTTTTAGATCGGATCTTTAAATTTTGGAGGGGGTCTCATTTTTTCAATTCTTCATATGTTCTAGAAATTAGTCCTTTTTCTGAGGCACAGCTGACTAAAATTTTTTCCCACTCTGAATTGTCTCTTCATTCTGTTGGTGATTTCTTTTGCTATGCAAAAGGTTTTTAATAAGGTAAGATCCCACTTGTTGATGCTTTCTGATATTTCCTGTGTGACCAGGGTTTTGTCCATAAAGTCTTTCTTACACCAGTGTCAAGAGTTCTACCCATTCTCTTTTCTAATAGATTTACTCTTTCTGTTTTAATATTTAGATCTTTGATCCATTTTGATTTTAGTTTAGTGTGTGCTGAAAGATATGAATTTAGTTTTAGTCTTTGGCATGTGCAAAACCGGTTTTCCCTGCACTATTTTAATAAGAGGCTATCTTTCTTCCACTTATCCTTTGTCAAAGATAAGGTGGCTGAGTGTGTTTGGAGTTCTTTCTGTAGCTTCTATTCTGTTCCACTGATGCTCAGGTCTGTATCTTTGCCAGTACCATGCTGTTTTTATCACCATAGCTCTGCAGTATAACTTCAAATAAAGGATTGTGATGCCCCTGTTTTATCTTTGTTGCCCAGAATTGTTTTTGCTATTCTATGTCTTTTCTGGTTCCAAATGAATTTTAGAATTATTTTCTCTAATTCTGTGATACATGCCATTGGTATTTTGATTGAGATTGCATTAAATCTGTGGAACCATTTGGAGAGCATAGCCTTTTTCACTATACTGGTTCTTCCTACCCAAGAACAAGGGATATGTTTCCATTTCCTGTTATCCTCTTTGATCTCCTTTTTCAGAGTACTGTAGTTTTCCATGTAAAGGTCTTTTACTTCCTTTGTTGGACTGATTCTCAGTTATTTAATTTTTTGTATGCTATTGTGAAGGAGGTTGTTTCCCTAATTTCTTTCTCAGTGAATTGTTATTTGTGTACAGGAATGCTATTGATTTCTGTGTGTTGGCTTTGTATCCAGCTATGCAACTGAACTTGGTTATTAAATCGAAAAGCCTTTTGGTATTTTGGGGGGGTCTTCTGCTAATAATGTCATCTGCTAATAATGATAATTTGACTTCTTTCTTTTCTATTCTATTTGTTTTATTTCTTTATCTTGTTTAATTATTCTGGCTAATGTTTCCAGAACTATATTGAATAAAAGTGGTCATAGTGGACCCCTTGTCTTGTTCCTGATTTTAGAGTGAAAGCTTTCAGTTTTTATCAATTTAATATAATGTTGAGAGTTTGTTTGTCATAGATGTATTTTATCAGCACCTTCTACTCCAATTTGTTTATCATGAATGTGTGTTGGACTTTGTCAAATGCTTTTTCTGCATCTATTGAGATCACATGGTTTTTGCCCTTGGCTTTATTAATATAGTGTATAACTTTTTTTTTTAATACCAAGGATCCAACTCCAGTCCTTACACTTATGAGGTAGGTAGCAAAACCACTGAGCTAAATCCCCAGCCCTAACATTTATTGATTTGTATGTGTTAAACTATCCCTGCATGCCTGGGATGAACCATACTTGGTTGTGGTGTATAATTGTCTTGATGATTTGCTGCATTTTGTTTGTGAGTATCTTATTAAGGAATTTTGTGTCTATGTTCATTAGGGAGGTTAGCCTGTAATTCTCTTTTTTGGTTGGATCCTCCTCTGGTTTTAGTATCAGCATAATGCTTGCTTTCAGGAATGAATTTGGGAGTATTGCTTTCACTAGAGTCTGAGAAGTAGCAGCGCTAAGTCTTTTCTACATTTCTTATAAAATTCAGCAGTAAAGCCATCAGGGCCTGAACTTTTCTTTGTTGGTAGGATTTTAATTACATCTTCAATCTCATTGACTGATATTGGTTTATTTAGAATTTGTATATCTTGCCGGGGATTTAGCTCAGTGGTTCGGTGGCCTGCCTTGCAAGCGCAAGGACCTGAGTTCAATCCCCGGTACCAAAAAAAATAAAGAAAGAAAGAATTTGTATATCTTGCCGGGGATTTAGCTCAGTGGTTCGGTGGCCTGCCTTGCAAGCGCAAGGACCTGAGTTCAATCCCCGGTACCAAAAAAAATAAAGAAAGAAAGAATTTGTATATCTTCTTGATTTAGCTTTGATAATTCATATGCATCTAAAAATCTGTCCATTTCTTCTGTGTTTTTCATCTTATTAGAATATAGGTTCTCAGAGTAGGTATTCATGATCTTCTGGATTTCTGTGAGATCTTTGTGCTTTCATCTTTTCATTTCTAATTGCATGGATTTGAGAAATTTCTTTCTTTCTTTTTTGATAAGGTTGGCTAAGGGTTTGTCAGTTACATTTAATCTTTCAAAGAACCAACTCTTCAATTCATTGATTCTCTGTGTTGTTTTCTTATTCTTCGTAGCATTCATTTCTGCTCTGATCTTTATAATTTCCTCCCTCATGTGACTTTTGGGCTTTATTTTTTGTAATTCTTTTTCTAGAAGTTTGAGGTCCAACATTAGGTTGTTTATTTGAGCTTGATTTGTTTTTCTGATATGGGAATTCATCACTATAAATTTACCTCATAGAACTGTTTTCATTGTATCCCGTAATTCCAGTATGTTGTATTGACATTATTGTTTAATTGTAAAAACTGACTAATTTCTTCTTTAATTTCATCTGTGACCCATTGGTTGTTCAAGAAGGTGTTATTTAATTTCCATGTATTTATGAAGTTTTTATGGTTTCCTTTGCCATTGATTTCCAATTTCATTGCACCATGGTTTGATAATATGCATGGGATAATTTCAATTCTTTTGCATTTACTTAAGCATGTTTTATGGGCTAGTATGTGGTCTGTTTTGGAGACCATCCCACATGAAGCTAAGAAGAATGTATATTCTGATGTTGTAGGGTGGGACACTGCAGACATCTACGGGAAGTCCACTTGTTCAAAATTTTTCTTCAGTTCTGATATTTCTTTGTTGGTTTTTTTCTTTTTGTCTATTTGACCTGTCCATTTGTGACAATGGGGTATTGAGATCCCCCATTACAATTGTCTTAGTGTTTATTTGATTTATCATGTCTGTTAATACTTGTTTTATATAGTTAGGTGTTCTGATATTGGTGCATATATATCTAAAATTTTTATCACTTTGTCTTGGATTGTTCCCTTTTCAAGGATATAGTGACCTTCTCTGTCTCTCTTAATCAGTCTTGGCTTAAAATTCACTATGTCTGCAAATAGAATAGCTACCGCTGATTTTTTTTTCCAGGTTCCTTTCACATGGAGTATTGTTTTCCATCCTTTGACTTTCAGTCTATGAATTTATATAAATGTGATGAATTATGGTGATGAATTCCCATATCAGAATTTCTTTAAATAAATGTGCTTCTGGTATGCAGCATATTGTAGGATCTTGCTTCTTAATTCATTCTGCCAGTCTGTTTCTTTTGATTGGTGAATTGAGATAACTTATGCTGATGTCGATAACTGGTATGTATCGACTTATCTTTGTCACATTATTTTCCTGTTGCTGGCTCCCTTTTTTTCTCCTCTGCTTAATTGCCTGCTCTGCCTGATGGATTCATTCTGTTGGAGTTTGTGGCGTGTAGTCCTCCTTATCTCTTTCTAGAATCTTCTTCAGGACATTTTGGAATGCTGGTCTGGTGGTCATGCATTCCATTAGGTGTTCTTTGTCATGGAAGTATCTTATTTCTCCGTTGGTTTTGAAAGATAGTTTAGCAGGTTACATCAATCTGAGCTGGAGGTTGTTTTCTTTTCAGGTTTGAAATATTCACTCCAAGCTCTCCTTGACTTGAGGGTTTATGTTGAGAAGTCTGGTAAGACTCTGATGGGCTTTCCTTGATAGATGATTTGTTTCTTTTCCCTAACATCATTTAATATTCTGTTCTTGTGTTAAATTTCTAGAATCTTGACTCTTATATGCCTTGGCATAGATGTTTTTTATCATGGCTGACTGGAGTTCTACATGCCTCACTTATCTGTATCCCAAATTCTTTTTCTACCTTTGGGAAGTTTTCTGCCATTACTTTTGTGAATGGGGTTTTTTTTATGTCATTTGCGCTATCTTCTGCTTTTCCATTTATTCCAATCTTATGCTATTCTTGTTTGCATCATCTAGCAGTTCTTGGACTGACTTTTTGGTCCCTTGCTATTTTTAAGAAATCTTTTCTTTATGATCGCTGACCACAATCCTGTCTTCTATGTCTTATGTTCTGTTCTCACATTAGCTCATTCTGCTACATATACTTTCAATGGAGTTTTTAATATCCTGGATATCTGAATCCATTTCATGGATTCCATTTATTTCCTATGTTGGATGTTCATGGTATCCATCATTTTCCTAAGTGCTTCTTGCTTTTTTTTTTTAATATGTATCTGTTTTTAGAATCACTGGCCATGTCTTTCATTATGGTCACTATCTCTGTAGTTATCTGAGAAATTATTTCTGACTTGATTTTTTTTTCTAGAACCTCATCATGTGCCTTGTTACTTCTGCTATTACCACTTCAGGGACTCCAAGTGGGTGGCTTTTAAATTGTTCCACTTCATTGCCCCTTGGGTTTGCTTTTGGAGAGCCAGAAGTCTGAGGTTGCATCTTGCTTAAATGCCTTCTCCCTTTCTTTTCTTTCTTTTTTAGTTTAATTTCTGGGTTGATGCTTGTAAATTGCTTATAGAAAGCAGCTTTATTTCTAGTATTGAGAACCCTTAGAAAATGACTACTTCTCAGAAATGCCTTCCAGGTGTATCTGGCTTTTGGGTTTTAAGTCTGTTGCAAGATTCTACTTCATCAATTTATTGTGGATGAGAAGTTGCTGCCTATTTGACCCAGCCCCTCATTCTTTGGCACAGGCCTATAGTGTTGTTTATGATTCTTAGGCAACCTCAGTTGTTTAGCATATCAGGAAGAAAAACTGATTAGAACAGTTATGTCACCTTGGCTAAAGTAGTATAATCAGCAATAACAATAGCATCAAACGCAGTTTAGAAAATGACAAACTGTAGTAACTTAATTTGCCACCTTTAACTGTATGGAGTATATCTGTGTTTATATAAAAAATCTAAAATGAATCAGAAAATTATATACAGTAATTATGTCCTCAATATGATTTTTACCCTAGGGTAGAAAATTTAAAAGGGGTTGGGAAGAAGAAGAAGGAGAAGAAGAGGAGAAGGAAAAGAAGAAGAAGAGATTAGAAGCAATGAAAGAGGACAATGGAAAATTGTGCAATGCGAAAATAGTGAAGAAGATAAGAGGGAAAGAGAGATGGAAGAAATAAAAAGAGAACAGAATAACAACAACCAAACTATGAACAATATTCACACTCATATAAAAATAAGAACAATCGAGAGAAAAAGAAAACAAAATGAAACAAAGACAAAAATAAACAGAAAAGAAAAAAATGTCCACATCAGGGCATGCCTCTGCTGTCACTAGTGTATAGAGTAGGCAGACAGAGCCCAGGTCCATGTTTATTACTCCCAGCAAGCCAGATGTAGATTTACAGCCAGGTAGTGGATATTCCCAGCAAGTTTACACCTTTAGTATCACTGAAGTTCAAGTTGGTTTCTGGTGTGAGGCTAGAATCCAATTTGTTCAGCCTGCAACACTCTGTGTGCCTTCTGCTGATGAACTTGCCTCCCTGTGAGCTTGAAATTGGATCCTTTTCCTCCTGATGACTTGAGTGTGGTTCTGCCTTACCCTGACACTGGGAGCCACTAGATGGAGCCAGCCCACAGCTGCTCTCAATTTTGAGCACAGTTGACCCCTGTCCAAAATGGCTACCAGCCAATCACCTTCTCCTGAGGGGTATATGAATCCGAATAACTCAACATCCACTGCAGTCCATTATTCCACTGGTGTGTTTCTCCTTGGAAGCCTCTGAGGTTGCCAGTAGTCACCATACACCTGGAGGTTCGAACTGCTCCTTCCCACACAATGAGTCAAGTTTCAGGAGGAAAGCACCACTTGTCACCTCTTACTTCTCTCTCTTCATGCTCCCCCTGGGCTTTGATTCTTGTTTCAGATCTTTGCTGGGGTCCCACTTCCTTCCTCTTTTCTTTCTCACATTGCTATATTCCAGTGTGTGGACACCAAATCTCAGAAAGTCTGTTTCTGTGCTTTTCACCACTCTGCTATCTGAAGCATCTCAGAATTTGTAGAGTTTCAGTCCATAATCAGCTTGCACAAAGGCAGGGTGGCATGGCAGACAGGTATTGCCAAGGAGCAGAAGGTAGCAAAGTGAAAAAGGGCCATTGCATTCTAACAGCAAGTCTCTACATATTTATTTAGCAACTACCATTGCATGTGCAGCAGAATTAAAATGGAGTTATTTATGCTTCTGTTTGAACTTCATTAGTGAAAGCCAGTTCTCTAGACACAGAATTTAGGAAGGAATACCTGGTTCTGGTGGCACACACCTGTAAATTCCATCACTCAGGAGGCTAAGGCAGGTGGATCACCAGCCTGGGCTACTATTTAGTGAGTTCAAGGCCAGGCTAGACTACTGGACCACATAGCAAGACTCAATTTCAAGAAAACAAGTCAAAGCAAAATGAGTTTAGGAGGGAATGGCAGGAGCCTGGCTCCTGGCTCCTGGCTCCTCTCTTATCAAATATATAAAGGAGGGAATGGAGGTGGGGAGTTAGTAATGCTTGAATTGTCTTTGTCAAGCATTGTCACTCTGTGGGGATTTCACCATGACACCTTCAAGTGGGGACAAATAGGATAGCTACCTTCAGTAGTCCCAGGATGTATTTGAAGAGTAGTTTGTTTCTGGACTGAGACTAGATTTGGGAATTAAAATAATTGTGACCCTGTTGGCTATGTAACAAATAAACACAAATTTAGCAGCTTAACACAACACAAAATGTTTACCTTGTAGTTCTGTAATTCCGTATGACACAGGTCTTGCCAGGCTAAAATAAAGGAGGGGTTGCATTTCTTCAGAGGGCTTAGGAGACAGCATATTTCCTGCTTTTCTCACTTCTTGACGCCACCTGCATCACTTGGCTGGAGCATCTTCATCCATTCATCTTCAAAGCCATCAATGTCTACTAAGTCTTTCTCACCCCACATCCCTCCAAGTGGCTCATCTGTCTCCTTCTTCCATACTTAAGGACCCCATGATTACACTGGGCCCATCCAGGTAATTCAGAATAATAATCTCCTTGTAAGGTTGGCCAATTAGCAACTTAGTCTATGTGTGACCTTAATTCTCCTTCACTGTATTGTGAAACATTCACAGCCTCGGGAGTAGGGTGATATCTCACTCATCACAGACACAAGGAGTAAGTGCCAAGTTTCCAGCCAGATGTAGGAGCACACTAACCCTGAATACATTTTTAAGGGACCGTACACGTAAAATTATGTTTCACATTTTCACAAATAGTGCTTGGTCATTACATGGCTTCCAGAAGCAAAATAAAAGACAATCTTCCTTCTTAGGAAACTTGTGCGTTTATTGCCAGTGAGGCTTGAGTAGCCCAAGTCACCAGTGACTAAGGTGTAATGTAAGCAAGTGAGTAAGCCTTAAATTATATAGTGGACTCTACAGGCTGCAGAATGAATTCAGGCAAGGGCGTGAACAAACCAGACCTCATAATTACTGAAGGTGACCTTGTAAATTTTAATGGAATTTTTTATCAGATTATAAATATACATGTGCATATCAAATACATACTTCAAGCAAGGCAGAAAGCAGCTGAGGAGATAGTGTCCCTCAGCTGCTGTCCAGCAGGTGGCCACCCTGCCCCCACCCCCAGTAACCAGCATGTCAGCCATCATCTGATTTTCCCAGACATTTATGCAGGCAACACACTCATACCTGAAACAAAACAGAGTTCATTGACCCCATTAGGACCTCTGGGGTTGTATATCACTGATTTCTCTCTATGTCAATAAATTTAGTTCTACATCAACATTTCAGTGACTGAGAAGAACCTTTGTTTCAGTTCGCAATGACTTATTTAACAAATCCCCTAATAAATGAATCGTATTTGCATTTTTGCAGGTTTCTTTTAGAACTATAATGCTGTAGTGACTTCTTTCACATATTCATCTTTGTAATACTTGATTGACTATTTCTGCAAGATAAATTCCTAGAAGTATAATTTCTAGGTAGGAGGCAACTGTGGTTTTTTAAATACTTTTCATACAGTATCAAATTGCCTGCCAGAAAAAAGAAAATTTTTTGTTTGTTTGTTTTTTGGTACCGGGGATTGAACTCAGGTCCTTGCGCTTGCAAGGCAGGCCACCGAACCGCTGAGCTAAATCCCTGGCCCAAGAATTTTTTTATTAGTATGTTTTCAGTACATAATGATTACACTCATTGTGGAGAGTCAGTGCATGGACATAACACATCTTAATTCTTCACACTTCCAACATTTTATGCTTATTTTTTAAATTTAGAAATTCTTAAAATAGTATATCATCTTAAAAAAAAAGTATGTCATCTTAATTTGCATTTGCTGTGGTTACTGTCCTTACTGTCCATTTTATGTCTTTCATGAATTAGAAGTTCCTTTTCTAATCTAATTTGTAAAAGCACGTATGCAAAAATATTACTCCTACATTATGTTTGCATGTCCCCGCATTTATGCTGTTTTTATTTTGTTTACACTCATTTTTGTAAACACATTTATTTATTATGTCCTTTTTCCCTGCTGCTTTCTTTTGTTTGATTTTTACGTGTGGTTTTAAATCCTTCCATGCCTTAAGATTATGAAATAATTTGCCTATGTTTACAGCTAGCGTGTTCACAGGCTCCTTGGTTTTTGCTTTGTTTCATTGCCTTGGTTTTTCTATCTAGAGGACTCCGGAAAGTGGGTGTTGCTGGTGTGGCTTCTGCTTTCACCGGTCTCCTCCTGGACACGAGACAAAGCAGCCCACAGCACAATCTCATAGGCAGCACTGAAAGCACAAGGTGACCAGGCTTCCCTAGAAACCCAGAATGCCAGCCCCTGAGGACGAAATCCTGGGTCACAGGACATCTCAACGCGGTCTGTGGTGGGGTGTGGAGGAGGGACACTAGGGGAATCAAGCGGAGGACCCTGCAAGAGATACCACAGGGACTTTCAGCAGGACGGCTGGGACGACTGGGAGCCGGCTGTGCTCTAAAAAGCAGGGACAACACGGCGGGCGCGCTCAGGAGCAGGACGCCGCTGTTTTTTGAATGCTTCAGTTATTTGCAAAGGTGAAGGGACCGAGAGATGGAGGGAGGAGGGGAGGAGGGGGACAAAGAGAGCTAAGACGTGTTGTGTGCCGACTCCCCACGAGGAATGCGAGCGTTCTGTACCGCCGACACAGACAGACAGCGGCGACGAGGAGGAGCGGTCACAGCGGTGCACAGAGGAAGCACAGCGCGGCCACAGCGCCCTCTCCGGGCTCGCCACGCAGGCTCTCGGGGACTGGGTCTGTGTGCCCTTTCCGGGCGGCGGGCTGTGTGCGGGGCTCTGTGCTTCTCTCCAGCTGACCCCCAAGCCCCAGGACTCCTCACACTGCCGGGCCGGGAGACCTTCAATGCTGCATCCTCCCAGGTCCAGAACAGCACAGAGAGCCTGCCCGGCTGCCCTTCCCTGCTTCCCAGCAGCCCGACTCAGCCGGAAACGCCTGTCTCCCCGCACGCCCACCTCTGCCTCTTATTTCAGTGCCCAACTTACATTTAGGTTTTGTTCAACTTCCCTCACCTAAAATCATTTTCTTTTCTCCACACCACTGATGAGGGGCCTGCTCAAAAGATGTGTGTGTTGTGGGAGAGCTAAAGTAGGCTGGGGGAGAGCTGACTCGGGTGGCTCCCGGGAGTGGTGTCGAAGGCAGCTTAGGAGGCAAGGCCATGGGAAAGATCATTCCAGGAGAGAACAGCGAGTGCCAAGGGCCTGAGGCCAAAGCCACCTGGACTGTGGCGACCAGCAAGAGGCCATGTAACTGCAGCGGAGGGAAGGACAAGAGCAGGGCAGGGCCGGGGTGGGCCTGGAGGACACTGTGAGCCCTGGCTTTCCCTGTGTTGGGCAGGGGAGGTGGGACAGGAGAGGTCAGGACACAGGACCTGACCTGACAGCTGGGAAAACAATCCCACGGGGGTCTTGAGCTTGAACCATACCCGGGAAGGTGGGGGGTCAGGTGGGGTCTGGAGGAAGTCATGTGGCCAGATTAGCA